TGGAGAAAGAAACCTGGTTTTAGTTACAAGAGAAGTCTCTGTTCATACTTCCAATCTGTTATTTCAGTAAATAAGGATGTGAGATCTTGGATGGACGTGACATTTTAATAACATCTCTGGGAAAAGATGGAAAGAATAAATTCTATGTAACTGCTCAGAAATGATCTTTTACAGTTAATTTTTTGCCTAGGTTTTTTTTTTTGGTTTGTTTTTTGTTTGTTTGTTTTGTTTTGTTTGTTTTTTTTGTTTTTTTACATCATCTGTAGTGCTGCTGTATTGGCAGGAGAAGAAAAATCTGAAATATCAGTTTCAGATATGTGCATCATGATGCTTGTGTTGTAGAATGCACTACACTGGATGTTTTTCAAATCTATTGTCTGTTTTCCCCACACTTATCTTCAGAACACTTGTATTGCTGTTTGTTTAAGGCCTCCTCATTCACCTCTCTCTCTTTTTGTTCTTTTGTTCTACTAGGAAGCATGCATAATAATTACTGCTACGGGGAAAATAAACATAAAGAAAATATTGATGCAAATCTTTTTCTTTTCTTTCGTAGTGTGACTCATATTAACATAGTCCTTGAAGAAACTGAGGTTTTGTCCTTTGCTTTGAAAATGGAAATCTCATTAATTTGGATTGGATTTCTGTATTGTAAGGGAGAGAGTGGTCAAGGAGGGATTGTTCCTCAAAGCCATTTCATTGAGGAAAAGGGGAAGGCATAAAAAGAAAAGACAAAAAGGAACCATTACATTGTTCATCCAGTCAGGATTGTGCATCTGCATGGATATGGTGTTAGAAAAAGGGGGATGAGGGAGCAGAGCAAGAGCGAGCTCATCCTTTTATGGGCTATTTATCTGACAGGGATAAAGGTACCCAAACAATTTCAGGAAGGGGGAGAATTAGAAGCAGTAAATAAGATGATAAAAAGTTTTCTATGTTAAAATGTTCCAAGACATTTTTAATTATTGCCCTTAGCTACTGTTCCTTCAGTTTCAGAATTCTGACTAAGTGAACGTGATAACCTTCAGGTTTATTTGTATGAATCTAGAATGGGCTTCAACTAAACCATGAGATGTTCCCATTGCTGAGCTTGCTGAATATTTGCTAAAATATTTTAATTAGTTTTTACTTTTATTTATATTTAGTGCATATGTATGGGTATATATGTAGTTTATGACTGACTACTGACCACATTCCCTTTTAAAAAATATTAATCAGCCTCATTTGGCTTAATAACACTTAATAGAAGTTTTTAAAAAGCCACAGTTTTTAAAATAGAAACTACACATTTTATTAAAATGCTACATAATTGCATCTAGCTATCTAGATAGAGATAGATATATATATGGTTACTTGATACAGTAGTTTGTCTTGAAAGAGTCCCATTATTTTGTCTTTCTTGTCTTGTCTTATTTTTAACTCAGCCTAAACTCTTCACTAAACAAAGTTCATAATTATTTTGTGTTTTGTTTCCAGATTACATTAATTCTGCTTAAAGTGCACAAAATTAACACTTTCACATGAATAGGATCAGATTCTGGTTTGCACTTTTCATTGCACTACTTAAAACAGAGTAGCTGCATCTACATGAGATGTTGACTAGTCATTTCGTACTTGTGTATACTTGACAAGTACCAAATGGCTTTTAGGTGATACTGACTGTGCAGTAGCTAGTTACTGACATAGGTCACGGCTCCTCACTGAACCACATCCCTGCCCCACTGTTCAAATCCTGCATTGTCATAGGATCTTAACATTTTCTAAGTGTTTTAAGTATGAGGAGTCTCCATGATGTTCTGACAAATGCTACAGCTGGGAGAATCACAGAGCCCTAACTGGCTCCTCTGAGATCTCCTGTCCTCTCCCCTGAGCAGCTGCAGTGGAAAATCTGCCCATTATATTCAGTCACATAAATAGGCCCATTGATTTCTGTGGGACTACTTGTGTGACTAAAGACAACTCTCAAGAAAGAGACTTGTCAAGATTGGGCTATCTATTTCATTTTTGTCAACCCTGAACATGCACAGATCATGAGCCAGGGCCTCTAGAAATTATTAAAATGATTTGGTAGTAAATGGCTTAAATTTCATGAGACTTTAATAAGAAATGTGTTATTTTTATTTTTTGTTCTTTGAAGCTGTAGTGTTTATTCAAGATTTCTTGCATTAGAATAATGGCTAGAAATATGCTCAGAAAACAATAGCTTTAATTCACACTTGACTCCGACAGCTGAGGCCTTTATGTGAAACAGATATTAATCACATGATAAAAATCTAGGTTGCTGGCAACACTGTTAATTTGTATGGCTGTTTTGGTTTAATCCTTTCATAAAACAAAATTCCAACTTTTTTTCAGTCAATGTGCTGTAGCTCTGAAAAATGTGATGCATTTCAGAAGCTTATAAGCATTATTTAAAAGCATAGAATGCTGCCATCCTTCCATGATTGCATATCTCCAGATCCATGTTCTTTCTCTGCATTTGCTTGTGGCTTCCCCAATGTGGCAATTGTTTAATAAAAAAATTGATAAATTACTGTAAAACATGAAAATCTTCACTGGCTACAGTCTTAGACCAGATCTTGCGTTAATTTCATGAACATAAACCAGAGCTGACCCTTAGTTGAGAGAGCTTATATGTCTGAGGATACTTGGATGGGTAGCCATCAAGCAGCTGTCTGCATGAGTTTTTACTTTTCAGTTTGCAGACAAGGTTCTTTTGGGTAGATGTAATATCTTTTATTAGACCAACTAAATAATAAAAGATATCACATCTGCCCAAAGAACCTTGTCTATATATGTCCTTAGACCAACATAACTATAAACAACAACCTACTTTTCAATTTTACTTTTCAGTTAGATTATAGACCTTATAGATCCCAAAATCCTGCACCTGGGTCCCACTCTCAGTGCTTTTTAGAATACCTAGACTGTTAAACCAAAGATGCCTAGTCCAAAAAGTTTCAGAACCCCTGATCTAAAACATTCATCTAGCCATGAGAATTCTCAAGTCAGTAACATTTTGATTAGCCTAGAGCCTGTGTCCTGCTAATCCCCGGCTTTGACTTGATTTTAAGGGACCCTATCGCAAAGTAATTGGTAAGTAAAAATAGTTATATAAAAGCTGAAACCTCAAAATCCCAACTTTGAAAAGGCATGAACAATTTAGCTCCAATTCTGTGATATTCAAGAGGGTATTTAATTCCTTCACTACTGTAGCATTTAAGTGCTAAGGTGCTATTTAGAAAAATATAGACTATGCCATTGTAGTTATTTTGTGGAAAACAAGGATTGCTTCTATCAGCAAGAGAACAGGCATGTATATACACTACATCCCCAGATCTTGCCGGATCCCCCTACTCTAACATTGTTTTGTAATATGACCATTATCCATCCCTCTCTTATCCTGTGTACCTAGGCTAGCAGCATTTCAGTCATGGGTAAAATGATTAGTGTATGTGCATAGATTTTAACGCATTAAGATTCATCAGACTGGTATAGAAATATAAGATGAGGCTATGCCAGGTGCATAGAATTATTTCTCTAACAGATGTTCACAGATTTTGGGGGTTGTCCATGGATTTTAAGTACCATCTTCCTGCTTGCTTTGTGTCTAGAGGGGTAGGGTAACTACATTCATTTTACCCTCCTAGCCTCTGCCAAGGAAACAATTCAGAGGAAAATCTGAGGGGGCTTCAAATAGCCAATGGAAAATACTGTAGGTTTGAGTCTTTCTTTGATACCTTTTAATTTCTGTAAGCAATACTTTAATTTTCTCCCACAGATGTGCTTTGCAAAGTCTTAATGGCCCTTCTACATATGGAATTTTTAATAATTCTTATCAGAATGGGATTTCTGGTGATTCAGTGATGTAGAAAATATAAACTTTGGAGTGGGAGTGTAACAATCTTAGTTTACTCTTATTTGTCTTGTGTTAAATATTTTTAGGTATTTACAACATACAGTAGAATAGCATACCTAAAAATTGTAGGAGTTTGGAATATTCAGTAACTAATTTAGATCATAAGTTTGTATTGATCTCCCAATATAAAAAGTATTTTGACTTGATAGTTATTAACACAATCCATTAATCGTGTTTCATTAACTTTAAGCCTAGTGGAGTGTATATGTTCTTTTATAGGGGTTTTTTTTCCAATTATTTTTGGTGAATGTATCTTTAAATGCCAAGATGATGTTTTTCAAAAAAAAAAGTATAGGATAATTAATACAGGTTGTCATAATTGTAAATGCAATTTTGGTTACTTATTAAGTTTATTAAATATCTTGACTCAAATTCTGGTTTGGATGTTTAATCAATATAGAAATACGTAGATACAAGCAAATATTCTGATATGTATCTTGTCAGCAGTCACTGGTGGTATTATCTCCCCCAAAAGTTGTTTGCTTCTGTTGGTTGTTTGTAATTTTCATGCAGTGCACTCAAGGTTATATGTATTTTATGTACACATTGGTAAATGATACTAGTTTTCGAGTTACAGTGTAATTCTTTTCTCATATGTTTGTTTTAACTTGGGGTGGGGTGAAAATGGGAGTGCCAAGCCTACTATACATTGCATAAACTCAGGAGTGGAGCCTGATGTTCTATTCCATTTTATTTTTAAATGTGTAGGCAGGAGCTTTGCAAGCTCTTATAGATAGCTCTCCTAATACATGTTTTTCACCCTGAAACTCTTGTGTAGTTTCTGATCAGGTCTTTGTAAATAAAGATCCTGTGTCATTCTAAATAGTGTATATATACCCAATAGTTCAGTCTGATATCTACCAGGGACTAGGATGAAACCATTAAATTGATTTATTTATGTTCTAAAAAATAACTTGTCAAATCAGGTATAATACACTAGTCAGACTTCTGTTGTATCACAATGGAAGTCTCTTTAATCTCATTGGCAATGGCGTTGCCCTGTGACTACTTGGTAGCTATGTAACAGCGTACTATAGACTTGACAATGCATAATACTTCTAGTCTGTTATTTAATGCATAGTCCTCTTTATTGCAGAAAAAGCTGCAGCAGCCAATGAAGATGAAGTACAAAAAGCAGATGTATCATCTACAGGTCAGAGTGTCATTGACAAGGATGCACTTGGACCAATGATGCTTGAGGTGAAGGGCACAATTTTCATTGTACTGTATTTGAATTAATTTTGCTACCTATAATGAAAAAATGAGTGTCCTGGAATGAAAAAAACAAACTGGGGCTGACTCTGAAATAAATGGTCAAGTAGTATGGTTTTAATAAATGCCATCATGGCATTATTATGCTGTTTCCCATAGGTTATTGCTTGTTATTCCCATAGGTTACTAGGGGGTGGGGGGAAGAAAAGCCTCTTGTTTATTCCAAGAGCAGTAGGATTAGAATAGCACTGATTATATATTTAATCGCTGGAATTTTTCATAGTATTTATGTTTCAGTTTTTTAGGTAATGTCTTTATATTTCTGCATGTTTATATGTACATAGTTTATACGCTGTGAAACCTGAGAGATTTGGAGCACTCAGATGCATACTAGTATTGATTTATACATGTGCACTGCATAGGAGTGCATCCTCTTAAACTGTACATCATTGCCACAGTCTTAATAACTTTTGCCATTACATTATAGGGAGTATGATTATTTTCCCTGCAGAATGCTAAAAATATCACTTGTGAGAATTCTTCCGGATAAAACTTTTGGTTAGCTTAGCTTGGTTAAAAAGCTCTAGCTCTTTAAATGAGCTATTGATATCATTGTTATGTATTGTGTAGATGCATCATCTGGGATGCTAATATATAATGTTACTATCGCATACTCTCTGTGGTACTGATGTTTTATCTGTGTTAGGTCTTTTGCAAACAGTTAATACCCATTCTGACTGTAGACTTTATCTCTAAGGATAGATGAACATTGGTTAATATATACCAAAAAAAGAGTTCTGAGTCCAGCTGGAGGAGCCAAGTTACAGATATCTAAATTATGCTAGTATTCCCAAAACATAGCAGGAGCCTGGCTATAAACTGTAATAACTATACCAATTATATATATTTGAACTGCTTTCCATGATTCATTAGATAAAAACACAAACAGTTGATATTGTTCTCTGCACTGCACATGGCTAAATGCAGTATAAATACTCAAAACCAAAAAGGTTAGACCTATTTATTCATCAAAGTTGTCCTTTGGAAAGCTAGTTCATTAATTTAATTAAATAAACACTATAATTAATATTTATTAAACATGCTCACTGAACTGAACGTTTGGGGGTTTCTTCGCTAACTATTGGAGTTAAGCCTCATAACTCTTGTATTGTTGGATAAAATTCTAATCTCATATATCCGTTAATTTGATCATAAGAATCTGTTTTAATCGCATGGATTAAAAAAAAAGAAATTATGCTAAAAAGACATTAAGCCTAAAAAAAAACCCTCTACCATCTCCTATTGTGTGTAAATTGTAGTAAATATGGTAGGTAAAATGCCTGCTTATTAGCCAACCATTAATTTATTATGTTTTAGTTTCTTTTTTCCTTCTCCTTTGAAATATGTTTTGTTCAAGCCCTTGTGCAACAGATATATAAAAGATTGCACAGTTGTTAAGCATTCACTGTGAAAAGACTACAGATATATTCTGTGCTTCTGTGTAAGGAAATATGATTTGGTCTTTTCCATCTCTTTATGTACCTCAGTCTTGATATGTCCACATGTTTTTTCTTTTGCCAAGTAAGGAAAATAATGGATGTACCGGTGGACTCAGTGCTAGTTATGCTATTTGTTTTAGGAACTTAGTTGTCTGTTTCTAGTAAAGAATATAATGTAGATGTCCTCGTGTTTTCCTGTTGAAGAAAGTGAGTAGAGTTCATCATAATCACTGGTTTTGGTGGGACATTTCAGTCAGATACAGATGTTACACTTTTACCGGTGTAAGTGATCGAAAACCAGTCTGTACCCATAATAGAACTGAAGTTCGGCACATGTAGACTGGTTTAAAAATGGTGGAGCCCAGTCTAAGATTTGCCCCCGCCACCAAGGGGCGAACATGTGTTCTGTTCACTACTGATCTAAACTACACCACTTAGAGAAAACGGCATAACTTAGGTTGATTCTGCCTTGGGCTTTCTTTAATGTCTGTACCTAGCCTTCCTGTCTAAGGCAAGAAAAGTATGTGTAGAAGACACCGAGACAGTAATGAACAAAAACTCAGAGCCCAACTTTCTCTGGTCCATTGTGTCCTCGGAAAGAAGTTCTGTTTTTTTTTTTCTCCCCTCTGATTACATTGTCTCTAGCATGATACCCTGTCAGAGCAATGCCCCTGAAGGAAGGGATGTTGGTTTTCATTATTGTTTCAGCTGTCTGCCCTGTTGAAATACATCTGGGGAAACAATAAGAAACGAGTAGTACCAAAGTGGAAGCCTCAGTAAATTTTAAATGGCTTGATGCATAAGCTGGCTTGACAGCTTACTGGTTGCTGTAAAGGGCAGCTGAACGTGCCTTTTGCTTCAGAACAGTAGGAGATTGGGGTGCTGCGAATAGGACATGCTCAGTTCCTACACTCCTACCAGCCTCTAGCGAATCCCTTGGTCAACTCCAAAAACTCTGAGGAAGTTGCCTCTAGCAGTCCTTCGCCAAGAAAGCAACTACAATAGGAAGCTTTTGGTTGTGGAAGATATAGCAAAGAAAATTGTAGAAAAGTCGTTAAAGCACCAATCAACTTGAGACACCTACCTGACATTTGAAAAATCTCCCTTATGTAGCATGGACATAAGTGCATGAGGACATTCTTCTACACCAATGATGTTAACAAATGATTTGCTGTTAGGATTTGAATCTGAATAAATTAAAACTTGTAATAGATATACGTTATAAATTAAGTGGTCAAATTCTACAAAAGTAAATAAAATGGAGGCAAACGTTCACAAACAGCCAAAAAACCATAAAGAAACAGAAAAAAAGCAACAGATATATTTCTTTTTTTTTTTCTAAAGTGAGGCGTAAATTATGAGAGTTGACAAAACAAGTGGATCTGAAGTATTTCAGTGCTGAAACAGGCAATTTATGTTTATATATATATAAATGTGTACATATTTTTATAATTTAAAAATTGCTAATGATGAATTTGAGAGCTCAGCTGTTATGCTGTGCTTTCTTTTACCCTCCTTATTTCTGTTTTCCAGTTTTTTTATATTTTAAGCTGTCTCTGTGCAATCTCAAACATATATTTGAAATGTTTTATGGTCTCAATAAAATATTTTTTCCTTTAATGTCCTTTAAGATTCAGTATTGGATTATATAGATGTATTAAGGATCAGCTAGCAGCTCAATGGTATGCAGTATTTTAATGTGTTTCTACAGTCTAAGTGGACTAAATGTGCATATTAGGAAGCCCATGGGGCTGAACCAGGTGAAAAAAGCACCCATGGGTTTAATATATAGTATTTGATATAACAACTCTCCTAAGAACTAGTTTGGAGTATGGTTTGGTCAGGTAGATAATTAGTCTGGATTCCTGAAAAAGTCATGTGTAACCATTATGTTCTATCAACAGTGCTTTTTTCTTTACTATAGGCATAACATTGTCCATTTGCACTTCCAAATCAAAATGCAAGCTAACCAGTTTTTTGATGATTTTCATATACTATTCTGAAAAGGTTAATAAATCAGGCAAAGTGGGAAAAGGTCCATGACCTGATAATCGAATGCTTGGACCCAGTAGCTGTGATGCTTTCAATTTTAAATCTGTATCCCTGATCTGTATATGTTATAAAATTAAACAGAGAGTCTTTGAGTTATTCCTAGGCACTTATGCAGTATTATGTTTGCATCTTAAAACCAAATACTGCTGGGAAACAACACTATGATTTTATTTTATCATGGGAATGCCCTGTGGAGATGCATTTCATTTTTTTCCTGATGGGGAGAAACAAAACACAATATTTGGCATGTGTTTCAAAAGGTGGATAGCAGACAGTTTTTAAAAAGTCCTATAATTCAGCTGTCACAAATTATAGAGAGAGAGAAATTCAGTGCACTATAGACTTTAAGATGCTTTTTGCTTCTGACCAAGTGCTGACTTCATACTAGCCTACTATTAACATGAAATCTACATCTCTAACAATTGGATTATACTTTGAATAGGATTTGATCCTCTATATAAAATTTCTTATTCTTTTCATATTTTATTATCAAGACAAGGGCTGGGGGGATGTGGGGTGGCAGGAACAGGAACAGTGAAGACATCTGTCCTTCAGAGAAGAGTATTGTTTTCTGTGTGTGTTTTATTAATCTGATTATGGCTTTTCTCTTTTTATTCTAGGCCCTAGATGGGTTCTTCTTTGTAGTGAACCTGGAAGGCAATGTTGTGTTTGTTTCTGAGAATGTGACACAGTACCTAAGGTACAACCAAGAAGAGCTGATGAACACAAGTGTGTACAGCATCCTGCATGTAGGGGACCACAATGAATTTGTCAGAAATCTGCTGCCAAAATCTTTAGGTACATTCAGTTCCCTCAAAAAAAAATACCATTGCTTATTTGCATATAGCTTTGGTTTCTTAAGTTAATGTTTTAATTACTTCAGCTGATGTCACCCCATTACTTAAATCTTTGTCATATGCACTGTATTTACTGTCAGTATATCTAATGGCTATGTGATAATTGATTGTTTCTGAAATACATCCTCCTTTTGTCTCTTCATTTTGGTTTAGCTTTTGTTCAAAGTTGCTCATAGCAACTGGCACATGCGATTGACATTATTACAAGCTCTTTAGAGTGAATCTTTATATTCCCTGTGAGTTCTCCTTCTAGTCTGGATATTGTAAGAAATTATACATAATATAAAAGGAGAAAGGACTTTTTCCATAGGAGAAACTATCGTGTAAAAAATAAATAAATAAATAAAATTTTAAAAAAAATAATGAAATTAAATTTCTTTCTCCCAAGTGTTTATCCCATTCTTTTAAACAAAAATAAAGCAATTGTATTAGTTGCACCTCTGTTATATTCATACTTTATTTCTTCTAATGTTGTTTTTTTAATTTTTTGAACAAACCTGTTACAGAAGAAGAAAAAGTGTTACATTTTCGAATGGCTAAGAAATACAAGTTACTGCATTGTTCATGTCTGCCTTTTCTTTGCCTTCTCCATGTATTTATTACCCATTATAAAGGGTTGAGCAGGATTATACACACTATTTTATTATGGCCTCATTAGTTCTTTATGCAGTGTTACAATAATTTGCTCTGATTTATACCCTGTATCTATATTTATGCATCCTAGGCTTTTGTTTCCTTTGGTTTTACTTGCCTGAAGTACTCTGGACAGGGTTTTAGTTTTATTATCCTCTTCCTGTAGTCTTCTGTGTTGTAGTTTAAGATATTTGTTTTATTTTGGCTTGCTGTCTTACATTTCTGTTTTCTTCAGGTTAACTTTTTCTCTAATCATGTCCCTAATCTGTCCAAGCTCTTAGTGAATAATATTTTCAATATTATTTCTTTCTATAATAATAGCCAACTGTTTCCAGACTTAAACGGGCTAACATTGCCATACTGCACATTCTTTTTTCCAGGCCTTAGCATAGAAGACCTGGAAATATGATAAATTAACTTAATTTGATTTACATTGGTTTTGTACATGGCTGCAACGCAGAAGGGACAGATGACCAGTTACCTTGGCGTAGCTGCTGCAGAGTAGGTGACTTACCACTAGGTGGCAGGAATGATGGGAATAGCCAGTTTTCTTTGAGCGGTTCCAGGATAACTAGGCACATATGCATCTGAAATATTTTCAAATCTGTTTTGTCCTGGGGTAACTCCACATCAGATTCTAGTAAGTTGCCAGAATTGGGATCTGCACTATGTGTAAACTCCTCCCCTGCCTTCCCCCCCTCCCCCCATTGGTATAAAGACTGTTTTCACCAGAGTAAGTGTGTCCTCTATTCCAGCTCCTCTAGTTGGAATTGGGAGAAGTGTCAGTGAGAGTATCGATTATTATGCTCTATCACTTTATGTTTGGTAATTAAGACTCTGTACTGCTATATTGCTATTCTAATCAAGCTGCCTAATCAAGTAAAAGACAAGGCAGCTGAACTAGAGATTGTCATTCAGTTTAAATTATGAGAATTTTTTTTTAAATTACTTTCCACAAGCCAGCTCATGTTCTTATATCAAAATTGTACTACATACTAAATGACATTATAAATAAAGTACCATAATTAATTTTAGGTTTAAATTATGCTTGGAATGAACACCTCTGAGAATAACCTTACATTGTATTTTTTGCTTTACTCAGTGAATGGGGGACCTTGGTCTGGTGAAGCTCCTAGGCGCAACAGCCATACCTTTAATTGTCGGATGCTGGTAAAACCTTCAACTGATTCTGAAGAAGGCCATGATAACCAGGAAGCACATCAAAAATATGAAACTATGCAGTGCTTTGCTGTTTCTCAACCAAAGTCCATCAAGGAGGACGGTGAAGGTAAAGTGAGAATACCTACTAGACTTGCTCACTTCTATGGTGTTCCAGTACCAATCCAAATAATTGTGAGCTGAGTTGTAATGAAATCAAGATACAGTAGTTTCAGAGCAGTGGAGAGAATTTTACCCTCTTTCATTTGTGGGTTTTCCTTCTTTCATTAAGCTGTGTGAGGTTTTTTTTTCTCTTAATTTGTGCATGTGTGGGTGGCACACCGGCCTTCACACAACTTATTCAGGTACATTGGTATAAATTAGGAGTGACTTCATATGTCAGCCTGCTCACTCTGGATTTATGCCAGCATAACTATAAGAAAAATGTGGCCCAGTGGTAACAGAATTTCATGTGGCAACTTCTAAGTTATCAGAACATGATAACTGTTGTGGTTTACCATTTCCTTTGCCACTTACTTCTTCACTAGTTAAATTTTCTCATATGCAGCTTAAGCTCTCAGATCACTCCAAAAGCATTTACTATGAAATTTCCTCCTCAAGAAGGACAAGTACTTCAGATACATTTTGAAGGAATGCGGTTCAGAAATTAAAATGTGAGAATTGTGCTCTTTACACATGCAATATGTTGTTTTCTATTAATTATCTGAAAAGCTGTTGAGCTGCAGCTATATGCATAAACATGGAAAAATATGCAAATAAATGCAACAATTTATTTGCATGTGCCACCTGTTATGGACCATGGTCTTCTGTCTTTTAGATGAAAGAATTAATAAAATGTCCATAAATACCCCGATATGGGGCTGGTATAAGGTAATACAACAGAATCCTCCCAGAGATTTTCTTGACAAAAAAAAATATCCCTCCCTCTGGACTTTTAGTTTAATTGAAGACCAGTGTGAGCCCTGTCAGTGCTATCCATCTCTGCATTCATGAGTACTAACTGAATCCAAAATGCAATGCAAGCAGAGGTGAGAGGTGTAGCATGGCAACTGCACCTGGGGCATCCGTGAATCATGGGGCAGTGCTGGCTGCAGTGGTATGGCTATTTCTGACCTCGCCCCACAAAGGTATTGCTCATGGTTCCTGCCCTGGTCAGCCTCCCTCAGTCATGCAACTGCATGCAAAACCTAACTATTCTGTTTTGTTCCTTAAAAACATCTTTCCCTGCTCAGCTTCCCTACTTCCAAAGTTTCTGACATAATACTATTTCATTTAAGATTTGCAGTCATGCTTGATTTGTGTTGCAAGAAGAGTCCCAATGAAGGAAAGGCCACTTCCCTCATCAGAGAATTTTACTACTCGCCAAGACCTACAAGGTATCATGAAAACAAAACTTCTCTCTCAATTTGCTGTTTTCCAGGGGGTTTTAAAAAAGAGAAAATAACTGTAATGTTGCTTTTATTTAACGCAGGTAAGATAACATCACTGGACACTAGCACCATGAGAGCAGCCATGAAGCCTGGCTGGGAGGATTTGGTGAGAAGGTGCATTCAAAGATTCCATGCACAGCATGAGGGAGAGATATCATTTGCCAAGAGGCATCACCAAGAAGGTTCGATTTTCTATTTTTAATATTTTCTAATCTTTGAACTCTTTGTTGCTTTATCCATTGGTCATGCTCTGTTTACATCATGTCCACATGGGCTAAGCAAGGGCTATTGAAGACCCCTCTATCTAAAGCCAATATCCCCAGTGAACAGTATACTTTTCTCTAGTTGGATTGTGCATCACTTTCCTTTTTCTCATTCTTACCATGCTTGTTGCATGCTTATCAGTCACCTGCTTTTATATCTTCAAACCTTTGTGATCTTGTTAGTGAGGTGGGCTACGGCCTTCTTGTTTACAGAAAACTTTTACTACAGCATGGTCCAGTTCACTGAAACAATTAAAGATGTTTATTTCACTTCTCTACAAAAAAAATTACTCTTGCAGTCTTGGTTCACCACAAAAAAGGTTCACTGTGATTTACTGAAGCTTCAGCACTGATGTCTAGTGAAAGCTGTGCGGCAGTGAGGGTAGACCATCAGCTAGTGGAAAATAACATTAGAATATCCACAAAGTCAAGAACGTAGACAATAAGGAAGGGAGGATGAAGGATAGTGTAGTGCAGCGGAAAGGCTCTTAATGGAATTCATGGCAGAGGCTAGGGCTTGGGGTACTTTTTCTCCTACGTACCATCTATGCAGATTCTAATCACAGGTCAGAATCAGGTTACTTGTGTTAGTAGTTCTTTATTCCACAAGTATTCCTGTTGAAACACAATTTCCAGTAAAATTTGTAGCCAAGATTTAGGTTAAAATGAATGTCTGAAGTGTCTCCTTCGCAAGGAGATTCTCCTGCAAGGAGTAAGATGCTACCAAGCATGTACCAACTCCCACTTCCTTTGAACTTTACAAAAGGAAACCCCCATGTCGACTGCTTTAAGGTTTTTGCTGTGATTTGCATACTGAAGCAAAAGAAGGGACATCTAAAGTCAACCCTGCCCAGGTATAATTTCTGGCCATGCTCAAAAAAAAGAGCTGTATGTCCAGCATCTCAGTTGCAAGCCTTGCAAACTGATCTTGATGCCAAATGCAAAGTATGGCAGGTGTGGTTAAAATGGACTTTCTTTGTATTGGCTGCGATGGGGGAAAAAAAGCATTTCCTGAAGAGGAATACAGAAAGTTTCTTGTTAGTTTAAAGAATAGTTAAGAAAATAATCTAAGTAGAGATTTCACTTCTATCTTATTGGCATGCAGTGCTCAAACTTCTTGATGTGATATATGCTAAGGCTAGTACTATGGACCTTCTGCTGCCCAAAGAGTATCTTGAAACAAGGACATATGTTAAAGTCAAATTCTGCTTTGTGTTGTTTTGTAGATGTAGGTTTTTATTGCGTTGTTCTTACACCTGTATGTTTTTACTCTACAAAAACTCTGGTTGTTTAACTTGTGTGTCCAATTTTCTCATTGCCTAAAAAATTCTTTAAAATAGGGGCAGGCAATTACTTTGGCTGGAGGGCCGCTTACCAAGTTCTGGCAAGCTGTCAACGGCCGCATAGGTAGCCCCGCCCCCTGACAGGTGCCCCACCCCCTGGTCGCCATCCTGCGATTGGAAATCCCGTCCCCTCACCTTTGCTACCAGAAGCCCATCCCCTTACCCCCTGGAAGTACTCCTTTCAGCAAGGGGTTTTGCCATCTCAGAACCATAAAAATGCCAAATTATATTCTAAAAAGCGAGCGTCTACAACCTTCATTAATTTGATTTCAAAATATATTTTTGTCCTTGTTTACATGTGTTTCTGTAGTGTACACAGAGGTGATTGTATATAATAGCTTAAAGTGAAGTCTTACTTGTATATTGGGGAGTGGGTATAGGTTTGTGGGGGGCTGTGGGTATGTGGGGTCTAGGGAAGGATGCGAGTGTGTCTGTAGGAGGTGGATAGATGTGGGGAGTGTGAGGTGAGGGAGCATGTGGTGTGTGAGTGGGTATGGGGTTTGTGGAGAGCTGTGTGTGGGGAGAGGGTGGCTGGGGTGTGTGAGGGGGGTGTGTGTGTGTGTGTGTGTGTGTGTGTGTGTGGCAGTGTGAGGGGAGGGTGTGGGTACATGTGTATGGTGGGGTGTGCATGTGAGACTTAACCTGCGCGCGTGTGCGCGCGCGCGCCCACACACACACACACACACACCCCACCAGGGTACCAGTGTGGCCCCATGCTCCTGGTCCAGCAATGCAGGCAGGAGCCACGGGCTGGGCTGCTGCGTCCTGCTGCTGGCCCCCCTGGGATCTACTGCCCTTGTCTCCTGTTATCTTACAGGCAGCCAGGAGCAAACAAATATTAATTTTCTAAATTTTTTAGGGGCCCTGCTGGCCAGATAGAATGGCCTGGCAGGCCGGATCCAGCCCACGGGCCGTATTTTACCCACCCCTGCTTTAAAACCTTGTACTATGTTATATATAACAGTGTGAGGGTAGGAAAGGAAATGAGTCACATAAGTGTTATCAGTCTGAAGAGGTTGTTGTAGCACTATGCAAAGGATTAATAAAGCTACACTTGGAATACTGTTTCAGTGCCATTAGTTTCATTGTGTCAGGGAAAATTAAAAAACATATAGAAGACATGAAAACCAATCGGGGATAGGAAGATACTCTTTGACGCTCTTTAGAAAATGTATACGAAAAGTAGTTAAGAAATTAAAGGGATACTCAGGAATTTAGTTCCAAAGCCTGACTGCAGTTTTTCTTAAACGTTCTTAAACAGTACCTAATATAGAAACACTCTCATGCTTTTTTTTTTTCTGTATTGATGAGCATTTGAGTCCAGTTTCACAACACGCAAAAAAAAAGTAAACAAACAGCATAAATGCTTAGGGGTTTTGATTTTGAAAAGTATGTAAGCAAATCATGAGGAACTTAGGAGAGTAGGACACATGCAAGTGCTAGACACTTGCACTGAACATCTAGGCTAGCTACAGACATTCAAAAAGCCCAAGGTGGAATTGATCTAATTTCCATGGTTTTCTATAAGTGGCGTAGTTTAGATCAGTAGTAAACAGAATGTGCATTCGCTCTTTGGTCAGGGGACAAATCTTAGATGGGTTCTGCCATTTTTAAACCAGTCTGTATGCCAAACTTCAGTTCTGTTATGGGTATAGAGCAGTTTTGTGCACCAGGGTTCTGTTCTGTTACAGGTATATACTGGTTTCTAGTCGCTTATACTAGTAAAACTAATGTCTATTCCTGGTTCTATACACATAGTAGGTGGTAAATATGGAGAAAAACTTACAATACCAGCAAGAGGCATTAGACAGATATTGGAAGAAAAATATTACATATCTGCTGAGTAAAAGAAGTGAGGCCATCATGGACTTCCTAGCCTCCCCTTCACTGAAGTCCATTAGGGTCCCCAGATCACAAGTTGATCCAAGTCGGCCAGTGTTGATTTGCTCCAAAATATATCACACACTAATGATTTTATTAGCCCTGTTCATTCATAAGCACATGAGCTCCATTCATAATATTAAATTCCTTTATTTGATATGCTTCATATTGTAAGTATTGTCAGTATTCAGATCCACAGAACATCTGTAGTCTTTTAATATGCCATATTTTTGTGATGATGGTTAAAATCATTCAACTCCTATGATATCCAAAAGATATATAAACAACCAAATCTAATGAATTTTAGGATATTGGTGTTTTATGTCTGCCTCACTAATTTCTCCTTAATTTTGTTGTTTGTTTGCAGTGCTGAGGCAGGGACTAGCATTCAGTCCTGTCTATCGATTTTCCTTGTCTGATGGCACTATAGTTGCTGCCCAAACAAAGAGCAGGCTCATCCGTTCTCAGACTAATGAACCTCAGCTTGTAATATCCTTGCATATGCTTCACAGGTAATCTTTGTTAGTTTCACAGGTTTTCCCCCTATTTCCCTGAGTGTAGGGAGAGACATGGCAAGAATAGTCAGTGTTTCATGTACATTATATTGACTGATAGACTTTTCATTTGGCCTATAGCTAACAGCTGTAAGTAAGCTTCTGAGTAATATAGTTTTGGAGTTAACTGGTTTAACAGGAAAATACTAAGAATCAAGATAATCATCATGTCTTAAAACCTGAAAATTCCTGTAGTTCAGAATGGATCACTAGTCTTCCACAAAAAAGTTATGTCAAAACTTAAGTGTAGCTGCTAGAGCCATGCTTTAGATAAACTATTACTTTGCAGGACAGTTACGTGTCCTGATCATATTTGGTGTTCATAGTGCTTTCGCAGCTGTAAACTGTTTCAAAACATGTTAGTGTGTAGCATCATAATTTCAGAGTGCTTCCTAAGAAAGAAAGGCTAACAACTTCCAGTTTTGTTTTGTTTTTTATGTAGCAAAATATTGGATTCAAATGTAAATAATCCCACACCCCAGCATTTGACAACTAAAATTTGAATTAGTTTAATGCATGAATGGCTTCTTTGTGCCAAATTTTAATTTAGAATTGCTTTTTAGTACAGTGCTACAATTATAATGTTATTTCAGTTTGCAGCTACATTATTGCTTTCTTGAGGAGGGGAAAAAACAGTTGTAAATCTAATTAAAGCTGAAAAAATGTAGAGCAGTTACAGATTTGGATATTGTATTCACCTAACTGAAAGCTGCTATTTAACAGTTTGAAACTTGTTTTGTTTAGATTTGTGAATACATCTGGTATTTCATGAGCATCTGCCAGAGTTGTAAATTAAAGTATTGTCATGTTAAAGATTATACATTTTAATAAAGCAGATGTCCTGACTCTTGCTACAGAACACTTGTACTACGAGAACAGTAGAGTCTTTACTACTCATTCATTTTCTGCATTTTGCCCATCTTGGCTAACAAAAATGGAATAGGCAGTTTTACTTTTGTTTGTGATCTGTTATTTTTATTTATGGTTTACTTAGACCGACACTACTAAATTTTAATATTTGACTGCAATTTTTTTTTACTATGCAAGCACTGAAAACGAATGTCTAAATACAAATCATAAGTGCTTATAAAATTAATGATTTTTTATTTTTATTTTTTTAATTAAATACTCAGTGAAGAGAACCCAGGTTTTATTATCTTTTTCTCAAAACCTAAATTTTTGGCCTATGTAATTTGACTGGGTCCTAAGTATTTCAGTGTTCCTCTGAGAGCTTGGGAAAATGTTGGATTCAAGCAAACAAACAAGTGTAACTTTTACAATAGAAGAATAACCTCCCTGCATATTCAAAGAATTTTAGCCAAATTCTAAAGAGAAAAAAACCAGAAGGTTCTTAGATGTGCCTTAAACAACTTTCTCCTTGCTTTCTCCCTCTCTCTCCCTTTTCCAAACCTTGTCTCTGATATATGAGCTACAGTTTGCACATTAATTTTCAAAAAGTGTGACCGGAACCAGATTGGTGAAACACTAGTCTCATTCTGAACTTGTTTCCAGTGGGTTTTTTTGTCTTCTATACTTTTGGAGCAGTTTTAAAATTCTTTGGCAGCTCTTCTTACACTATGTAAATTTGACTCATCATTTCCTGACATCTTAAAATTGCTTTTTATTGTGGGCCTAAAAGGCAGATACCAAAGATGCTCCAGGCTAGTGGAAGGGCTTTTTCACAGAACTTCAGACTCTGGCAAAGCATCTGGCTACAGCTGTCCTGTAAAATATGTATTTATTTGGGTCATTTGTCTAAGAAGATGAAACCTCCCTCTTATTTGCAAGGTAATTCATCCTGCAATGTAGAAAAAATATATTCACAAAGAGAGATACTGTAATTGTACTTGTTACCTTTATCTAGCTTCTATCATTTAAGATGAGTACATTTCTTCTTTGTAGCCAGAGATATACTAATGAGTTCCTGAACAATATACTGTTGTTGCTGATGCAGAACTGTGCACATATAGCCATGCAGGCAGCTGCAGATAGCTTTTATCAAACCCATTATCTGTTTTTTCAGTTATATTTGTTTTCCTATTTTTAAAGGAGTTTTACTTTTAATGCAAGTGTAGTATAAAAGTTTTCTTTCTTAGCTAATGCATGTGTTTTCCCCCTCTCATAATACAGAGAGCAGAATGTCTGTGGAATGAATCAGGATTTGCCTGGACAAGCAGTGGGAAAGACAATGAACCCAATTAGTTCCAGCAGCCCTGCCCATCAGGCTATGTGCAGTGGGAATCCAGGTCAGGATATGACCATCAGTAGCAATATAAATTTTGCCATAAATGGCCCAAAGGAACAAATGGGCATGCCAGCAGGCAGGTTTGGTGGTTCAGGGGGAATGAACCATGTGTCAAGCATACAAGCATCCACTCCTCAGGGTAGTAACTATGCACTAAAAATTAATAGTCCCTCACAAAGCAGCCCTGGCATGAACCCAGGACAGCCAAACTCTATGCTTTCCCCAAGGCATCGTGTGAGTCCTGGAGTGGCAGGAAGTCCTCGAATCCCACCCAGTCAATTTTCCCCTGCAGGAAGCTTGCATTCACCTGTGGGCGTTTGCAGCAGCACAGGAAATAGCCATAGTTATACCAACAGTTCCCTAAATGCACTTCAAGCCCTCAGTGAAGGTCATGGAGTTTCTCTAGGGTCATCGTTGGCTTCACCTGACCTAAAAATGGGTAACTTACAAAATTCCCCGGTTAATATGAATCCTCCTCAGCTAAGCAAAATGGGAAGCCTGGACTCTAAAGACTGCTTTGGACTTTATGGGGAGCAATCAGAAGGTACAACTGGACAAACAGAAAGTACCTGCCATTCAGGAGAACAGAAAGACAGTAATGATAACAACATGTCCCAAGTTGTCAGCAGTGAGAGACCTGATGGACAGAACAGACTGCATGATGGAAAAAGCCAGACAAAGCTCTTACAATTGCTGACCACCAAATCTGATCAGATGGAGCCTTCACCCTTGTCCAATCCCATTGGAGACGTTAACAAAGACTCCACAGGAGGTTTATCTGGTTCTGGTTCAGCACATGGAACCTCGCTCAAGGAGAAGCATAAAATTTTGCACAGACTTTTGCAGGATAGTAGTTCTCCTGTAGATTTGGCCAAGCTTACAGCAGAGGCCACAGGCAAAGAACTGAATCAGGAGTCGAATAGCACAGCTCCTGGTTCAGAGGTGACTGTTAAACAGGAACCAGTGAGTCCTAAGAAGAAAGAGAATGCACTACTTCGCTACTTGCTAGATAAAGATGATACTAAAGATATTGGCTTACCAGAAATAACCCCAAAACTGGAGCGTTTGGATAGTAAGACGGACACTTCTGGTAGCACAAAATTAATAGCTATGAAGACAGAAAAGGAGGAGATAAACTTTGAGTCCAACGAACAGGTAAGAAACCTCTGATTCTGTGTAATTCCAGATATTCTAACGCAGCTAACACTTCCTAACTGTGGGTGGCTAATATGTAATTGTTTATTTTTAAGATATAACCTTGGCTCTAAATCTACCTAAATGTGTTAGTTGTGAATGTCACTTTTCTAGGAAGAGCAGATTAATTGCATGATTGACAGCCTTATCCCAGGAGTGACAGGATGTCAAAGTGAATTCTGGAGGTCACCAGTAAAAAGTCAATGTTTGCCAACCACTGGTACCTAAGTATGCTTAGAATAGGGGAAACTGTGGCATCTTGCAAATGTTGGTAGATGCTTACCTGTTGACTGCCATAGCACTCGTATCTTGAATGAGCTTCTTTCCAAGGCCAAGTGCTGTCTGCAAAGCTGATAAAGAATTAGCGTTGTTGTTGCTTGTATTGAATATTACCTGCAGTTTAACACCAAAACAAAAGAGCATTCCCTTTATTTTTAGTTTTTAAATTCAAGTAACTCTAGAATTCAAATACAAGTTGTTTTATATTGTGTGGGTCCATGTCTTACTGTATTTAGTTATTTATTTATGTATTAGATTTATATCCCACCATATCCAAAAGGCTCAGAGCGGCTCGTAATAAAACAAACAACCCACAGACAGGATTCTCCAAACAACCCTCCAAGATATATGGGGACTTGACTGTAAATAGATGTTTGAAGCACAATTGTTCGTACAAAATATGTACGCAAGATAGTGCAAAACTATTGACTTTACAAGTTACCTTTGCCCACAGTAAGCTCCCTACTCACTCATCATTTTTGTTGCGCTCTGCTGGACTGTCTCCAATTTGTCCACATCCTTTCTGTAGTGGGGGGCCCAAAACTGAACACAGTACTCCAGAATGAACACAGTACCCCAGCCATTGTGCATCCTTCTGTTTTTAGTTTTCTCTCTCAGTAATGGAACTGCACAAGAAAGTAAATCACTTTAATATTTTTATTTATTTATTTTTAAAAGGGTTATTTCGATAACAGTTCTGGCACAGGGCATTTCCTGGGGAATGAATGATTAGCGGGGGTTACATAGTTTACCCCATGCCATCAACTCTCCCGGCTGGTTTTTAATCCCTAGGTAGTGTCCTGTGCCTGCATTCTCACCCATAATTCATGATCATTTAAGAAAGTACGTGCATGGCTTTTTCAGAACTGTGCCCTTCTACTTTACATTGCAGCTTCTAATTTGCTCTTTGGGGTTGAGCTTCTTTATTTATGCGTATTTGCTTTTGTGGGGAAGTCTATACTACTTTTTTCAGATTGTGAGGCAGCTCAGGGGATAGACAGCATAGTCATATTATTGCTACATTGTGGATTTTTAACTGCAGTTTCGTCAGTTTCTAACCAATAAGAGATTGTAGGGGCAAAGGTAAGTGTCAGGAATAGAGAGGCCAAACATGGTTACAGAAATGTACCATGACACAGTTAGAAGCACACATCACCCAACTGTTTTCTAAGCCTCCTTTATTTCCCTTACTTTGATAAGTCTTGACAGATGCTACCATTACTTAGGCATAACTATAATTTTCCAATCCTTCCTACCCTTCAGAAGGGAAACTGAGCCAAATTATACTAATTTCTTAAGTGATTAATCTTCAGGCCTGGATGTTAATATAGTTCTCTATGCAGTTAATGTCTGCAAGGCATTAAACATAATAGGGTGGAAGCAATCAGATTCTAAATGAAAATGTAATACTTTATTAGGCTGGAAAACATAGATGTGCAGAAGTACAAAACTATGCTGACAGCAGTAAACTATTGTAAATACAGTAAAACCTCATTAAAAATCATCATAATAACAACCCCTCACTTTAACAATTCCAACAGCAGGAACCAATTTGATACAGCAAACTGATTAACCCTACACAGTGATCACCATTTTTAATAAACTTTTCTCCCAGTCCCATTGGAATTCATTATAATGTACCAGTATAGCAACCAAATGCAGTTCTTACTTATCCTGGTGGATCCCCAGAAGTCCTCACTAAAGGCAGTGGAGTTACCTCAAGTTACACTGGGTTGTAAATAAGAGTCCAGTTTCATTTTCTGAGTTTCACATGGTGATTGGACAAGGTTGTATAATTTGACAAAGTGAAATATATATATTTATTCCAGGCATTCTTAAAAGAGACAGCAGATTTCTGTCATGCTTCCCAATCACTTTTGGTTTTATATGCTGTGATAAGTATAAGTATATGTTTTCATGTTCTTCTCTACTAAACACTTCATTTTTTTAAAAATATGAACCCTGAGATCCTTACTTAGTTACATCATTCCAGGAGCTGCAGCTATGAGAAAAACAACACTAAACACTGCAAGACTCATGACATAATAATGAGAGCTGGGAATACTGGGTGTGTCTACATATGCAATTAATGTGCCTGAATTTACTGCGAAGAAAATTCAGGCTTATTAAAGCATTCCTGGGGGCACATATACACATGTGCCCCTGTCGGGAGCTGCTCCCATTGGGAACAGTTGAGTCCAGGGCTGCTCCTGCTCCCCTCCCCTGCTCTGCCCCCCTGCAGCAGCCCGGGAGGAGCTCCAGGCTCCCCCAAGTGCCAGCTCCAGGTTGGCAGAGGGCACAGAGGTCAGGCCTGGGCCCCAGGGAGTTGGGGAGAGATGTCTGGGAGCAGAGGACAGCTCCTAGCTACATGGAACTCCAGATCGCAACCTGGCTCAGTGGTACTGGTTTAGAGCAATGTCCCGTGCCCCAGCATGGGAGTAAGCAGTGTTGGGACTGGGGGGAAGATGCAGGGGAGACCAGGAAGCAGTGCTGGGACCAGGAGGGAGATGGGACTGGAGCTGCTTCCCTCTTGCATGAGCTGAAGGGACAAGGGAGCTCTCTGTCCCTTCAGCCCCTGCGCAGTGCACACTCTGGCTGGCTCCCCCTCC